AAAACCAGGTAGTGCACTTATGTAGTGCACACATATGTGTGTGTCTTCGTTGTCAAAGTTATACAGTGTTTGTATGATGTATTTCTTTGCATTGGTGGCCTTTCTCTATCTGAATAAACTACTAGTATAATACCCACTAACACTATTAGAAAGAACAGTGTTTTGTAGATTGCCAATCATCTAAGTCAATACATAGAAAGAAGTAGGCAACCATAAAATCTAGTTATGTAATATGGGGTTATCATCTGCAGCAAAATCGAACGCTCCTTTCGGCACTGCGTGTTTGCTTTGCGCCCCACTGTACTAAACATGGTTATCAAAACATTGATTGGAAATTCCTAGAAAGCACTTATGCTTCAAACTCGATCTTATTAACACTCTATTTCTATAATCCATTTAGAGTTTCCTAGAAGTCTCCAGTGACGTCATCGGCACTCTAACTGTCAATGGAGATGATCAACAAGTAAGTAGTGAAATTTAGCTTATTTCACGCGCGCTTTTATTTGTGATATGTCTGGTTAGTCAAGGATCATCTTACATTTTAAAGAATGTATTCCCAACTGGATTATAAATGGATTGCGATCACATCCAGTCTTCAAGTTAGTCCCCTAGGAAAAAGCTATGTGTTTTGAGTATGAAAATTAGTGAGCGTTTGATGCTAAAACTTGTACCATGGCTGGCTTGAATTCATATTGGCCAATGGGCGTTCTAAAATTTCCGTGGATATATTTCGTAACCTGGGTATAGCATGGTAAACAAAATCAAAGTACCAACAACTTCGAATAAGTTGACTACAAATTATGCTACTTTTATCCACTTTCCAAATATGGGACAAATTTTGTATATTGCATTTTTCACCCAAAAAGTATTTCGTATTGGGAAACAAAACAGAAAAGTTAATGACATGTGTTTAAATCAATAATTATGCGTCTGTGTTCGAATTTTGAAAAAAACACAAATATTTATCCACTGACTGCTAGCTACGATGCTTGTAATATCTTACGTCACAACGTTACACACACACAGTCTCGTCATGCTTGTTGACCATTGCTATTTAAATTTGAATGCTGCGGGGGGTGGGGGTGGGGCTCAGGCCTAATCCCGCAACCTTCAGATGATAAAGTGTTGTGGCGTTGGCGGCATTTTACTCAATCAATCAAATTCATGGTCAATGGCTTACAGATATTACTAGCAACGTAAATAGGTGTTAGTGAAGTTGGGTATAGCGTTAAGGAACGCCGTATATATTCTATGATTAAACGAAAATGTTGAATTTAATAGCTTGTGTTAGATATTGTTATCTATTCGTTAGTTATTGATCCCCGTACATTTGCTTTTTTTTAATGACAGGTTTACGCAAAATATGAGTGTGCGCGATCCAGTTACCCGTATGGAGAATATTAAAAACGTCATTTTACGGTGACCTGCACCATATGATATTGAATTCAATAGATTCAATCAAATTTAAAGACAAAAAAAAAGATTAGTTACCGTGGTATCATGGATGAGAAGCGTCGTGTTTTGTTCGCTTCGGAGCGAAGCGTCTGAACCACTGACGGCAACATATGTTCATATGTCCCTATTTTCAGTACAGCTGCGACAAATCTGTACAACGGCGGATTACATTAAAAATGTCATTAATCGAATGATTCACAACTTAATTACTCAAGTTTGGTAATTTACGCGTTTTAAATAATGGTGGGTGCTATGTTTTTATTGGCATGCTGCTGATTTTGACAAACATGGCCTATCACTAAGGCGACACATGTGCGAACGCGCAATATAGGTGTCCTTGAATCGTAAATGTTGGTCGATGCGAACTGAGGTTTTGATTTCTCTGCATACACTTTTATTTGCGTTAATACACACATAAACATTGATGTGACACTTTAAATAGTATATATTATTGGTAAAGTTTGGTAACTGGCACTAGGCTTATATTCCCCTAAAATATTCATTTTCGTCAAAAGGGTTCACTATGTCTCTGCTTGTGCACCTTTCTTTTCAGTGGCGCCCGCTAGCGACGTGTCGTTTCTACGGCGTCAACAAGTGAAAGTTCCGCCAATCACAGCGTCGATATTGGCTTGTTCCTATCTGCAAGTATATCTGAACATCCGAGAAAGTAAATTGACCTTCTATTGACACAAAAATGGTGATATTTGGCATATAATTATATTTACCGAAAATCAAATTATTTGTATTGTGATAGCGCTCTTATCAAATGGATCTCACCTGCACCTAGTTATTTTAGTTTACTGAATATTTGCTATTCTATAAAGGCACAGTCAACTTGCGTACGAGTGGTAATACACATTACATTTAACAATAGTTACGACGGGCAGCCATCCATTGAATCTTTGCAATGCATAACAATACACAACACTTTTCCATCCAAACATTCCATCGAATAACCAACTTAAAATTCCCCGTCCTTGTGTGAAAACAAAATACATACAGACAAACGCCTCATTATACAATAAAAGGAGAACACTTTACGGAAGAATATGAAACTGAATTCGTCGCGCATCTGTAAGGTCTTGATTGACCCTTGATAGGAAAGTTTGACAATTGTTTGTGTTTTTTTTATAATTATAAAAAGAGGAATTAAAATGGCTAACCCATATAATATAATTATCGGTACACTGGGTGCATGTATTATATTGCCACTTTTTTCACTTGGCCTTTCTAAAAATGTTGTCTACCGTCTTCCACGTGTGCCTCTGTTTCCAAGCTGCT